AACCCCCCCCCCCCCCCCCCCACCCCTCATCTCAAGGTCTGGATCTGTCCCTAATACTGATGGGGAGAAGTCAAAGGTTGCCAATGAGTGTGGATTTACTGGAACAACAGGAGAATCATTTATCCTGGAAAAGAAAATTGGTAGTCATAAAGAGGCACTTCGCGTGGGATAACAACAGACGGTCGACCCAATAAAAAAATGAAATGTAGTTTAATGTGTAACATTCTTCTTTAGGAAGAAGTGGGCAAAATAAATACTAGAAGTAGTTGAATAAACTTGTTCGTAAGTGTGTGTAAGTGAGTCAGTGTAAATTAGTTGTGTTAAACCGTAAGTCCTGTATATTATGTATAGTAAAGTAGTAAAGTATTGTAATGAAAAAAAAAAAAGAATCCAATCTTAGATTTTCTTAAAGAAACACACCCTAAATTTATCTCATTTTCTCAAATTTCTTTTTTGCAGTATGACAATACATAACACTCCTTTAGCTACTTTAAATCTGTTAAATAACACTAAGCATCAATCTCCAGCTCTCTCTGCAAAGGAGAGACCCTGGGATCAAGGTTGAAGAGTACTCACTCTCCCCAGTCCTCTGCATCATCACACCAATCATCAACTTCAAATCTGCTGAAAGACTAGATCATAACACAAGCACAGTAAACAAATTACAGCAGGACCTGGTTCAAATCTGACTATTCTTACTAATTTGTTTGTTATTCTTTTTTTTAAGAATCACGTCTAGGAAAAGCAGGCACAGATCTAGGGTAATCAGTGACCAATTTCTGAAACAATAGGAGCCAAAGGTCCAAGGTTCTAGAGGGGTCAAGGACCATGCTCTACAGGAAATGTTTTGAATTTTAACTCTCTAAAGTGCCCTTTCCTGGGTTTCTGAGTCATTTTTAAAAATCTCGCCGATTTCCAAAAACGGTGGAAACTGGTATGGATCTGTGCCTGAAAATTACTGTGCAGTGTGCACTCGAAACCCAAGTTTCAGGCTGTAAATTTGATGTAATAGCCCAGACATCACTCTCACTGCCCCCCACCCCCACCCCCCAAAAAAGAAATATATCTCTTATAGTACCTCACTTAGGGGTGGTGATTGATAAATGCAAGACTTTGCGAGATGGCGAGACTAGCATTTTTCTTTACAAGCCCCAGACATTTTGACTTTTTAGATTGCAAGACCGAGACTTCAAAGTATTTTGCGTGCAAGCATGAGACATTCAGACACCTAAAATTCGAGCCCCAGATTTGGTTGAGAGAGCTATGACAATGAGCTAGAATGAGCTAGTACAAAAGTCTTACAAATGAGCCTTTTGTTGTAAACCCTTGTAGGAGACATCAGATCTAAAAAACAAACAAACGAATCGGGACTCCGAGACACCTTTGTGTAAAAATGAGACTGTGAGATGCACATAACCGCTAAAAAAATGAGACTACGAGACCCGTAAAATTCGACTAAATTTTGCGAGACCCAGAGTTTTTGAAGGACCATTTGCCACCCCTGCACTTGCTATGTCAGGCAAGTGAAGGACAGAATCCACTATCTACTTGCCCTGGGCTATCAGACAAGACTTTCTATGCATGCTGAAACATATTGAAGCTGCACATGTACCTGATTTTCTGTAGTTTCCTTGACAACAAAATTGCTATCTTTGGCCTGAGCTCTTAAAACTTTCCAACTGAAAGAAAATGATGAAATCTAATATTAAGCATATTGCAGTCTGATCTCACCAAAATGTTTTTGTTTACAATAAAAAAAAATGATCACTGTAACCTAATACATATACCCTAACACGTATTAAAATGTAGATAGGACCCTGCGCATGTTCTGATTGGTCAAAAATCCAGTTTTATCGGAGTATAAAACATAGAAAAAGCGTCTTTTATTGTTTTTTGCCACATAACATCTATATCACAAAGCAAATGAAGAAGCCTAAGCTGTGTATTACACTGTGATAAAACACTTCGCGCATTTGAGAACACTCGAGAAATGTAGAAAACACTCGCCTGCGGCTCGTGTTTTCTACATTTCCCTTGTGTTCTCAAATGCCCATCATGTTTTATCACAGTGTAATACACGGCTTAGGCTTCTTTATTTGTTAAACAAATGAATCAGATGGACTCCTCAGGATGAATGCATCATGGGTGCCCAGTAATGGCTCTATAACCCTCCCTCCTTCAAATAATTGGGGGTACAGAAGAGAGAGGCAGGAGTTTGGAATACTGGAGGAATTATTGGAAGGAGAGATATTTATCATACACATAAAGTTATTATTTTTGGTTTTAAATCACAGTTTTATTCACCCCTCCTCTTTTTATCTTCAATTCCCTCCTTAAGGAACCCTCCCCCAACTGGGAAGTCAGTGTTTTTATACATAATAGAATGAATTTACAAAAGATAATATAATTGTTTTAAACAGTAAGCAGGCTGTATGGCACAACAGGGTGCAACATTGAACCTTAAAATTTACACACAGATTTTCCATTTGCACTTAAAATCTAAAAAATGTACATCACTGATTCAAGTGGCTTTAACCTGAAATAACATAAATAATGATATCCTTAAAAAAAATCATAATGTGAGAAAATTTTCATGGAGCATTCAAGCAAAATTATTAAGGTATTCCAGGCAGTGGCTCCCATATCTCTTACCTTTTGTTTTTATTCCAACAAGATGCATTTCCACAACCAAAGATGTACAGCACACGGTGAAACTCAGAGTTTGACAAAGGGCAGTAAATTTGACAAACCAGATATAATACATTGTTACACAAAGGGCAGATTGGATAATTTGATGGCGGTCCAAATAACCAGTTCTGTGTTAAAATGTAAAAAAAAGTATGATTACAGTAAGCTTAGTTTATTTTATTGTGGTTGAGATTGCCAACATAAATAAGTTTAACTTAAAGCTCTAACATTAAAAGTTGGATAATAAGGCCAAAAACAGTCGCAAACATCCTCCAGAACATTTGATATAATTGCCTTCTTTACCGAGTATGATAAATGGAATTTAAATTATCTGCCGCTGCTCTAAATTAACACCAAAGAAGAAGTCAAGAGTTTGTGGAGTCAAGTGAAAGAAAAACATGTGTTATATATAAAGGCTGAAGTATTTCTTCTTCAAATTTAAGATTTTTAACACATCAATGGTTATGAAGACTTACTGCTTACCGGAGTTCCTCCGATCTTATTTGTACTCCACCCGCATATCTTGTCGTCGTTGTGTTCCATGTTTCCATCGGGTAACCCCAAAAGTAAGGGTTCATCCGCCATCTTGAAATTGTTACCCACAAGGCATAGTGGGAATAGATGGGCCTCGTCCCCGAGAAGACCTTGGGGACGAGGCTAGGTGCTAAATTTACCGTATCATGGCGTATCATCTAAACTCTTGGTCTTCGGCCATCGTAGCAAGACTGACTACCATTGTAAGGCTAAGAAAACCTTATTTATTCAGGAGTTGCAGCCAGCATTGAATGCCGGTGTCAGCAGTGAAAAGCTTTTACTTTAATAGGAAAGCTTTTCCATTGTTCACTTTACAGACAGTTTCCGTTTGAAACGTCTTAAGGCGGGGGTTAACATGAAGGCCATATTTTTGCTGGGTATTATGGTTTGAATGCAAATATCTCGTTCACATTTCAAGCAGAGAAAAATCTCTCGGCTCATTTCACATAGCTACGTTTTGGGCTGTTTTGTAAATTTTTTGGGATTTTTGGGTATATTTGGGAATAAATAGTTTTTCTCAAAGGGTTAGTAAAATTTATGGAAATAGGAAATTTTAAAGATTTGATGTTGTTTTAAAATTAGAATTTGAAGTTAGAAATTGGTAGACGTTACACCAAACAGTTGCCCACCAACCCGGGGTGCCCTTTTGTGGGCAATCAACTGTCTGGTGGTGTTCCAAACCCCTTTTTATCCTTTTAATCCCTCTTTAAACTTCCTAAAATTTCACTTAAATTCATGTATACCCCCTCCTTAAATTTCTACCGCGATGTTTTTCTGTCTAGGTTCCAGACCCCCATTGACACAGTATAAATAGCTTTCCAAAAAAAATTTAACGGCTATACTTTTGAAAATGTATGTTGACTAGCATACGAAACGTCAAGGTCATAAAATGCACGTTTTTAAAAAGTTTGTTACCGCTGTTTGCTTTATGTTTTTAAATTTACGTMCTTTTATCAAGTTTGGCCTGTGAACAGGCTCTAGTCGAGGATGGGACGAAGAGAAAGCGGGAAGAAAGAGGAAAGCAGAGAGAGGAAGGAAGGGAGGCCCCAAAGTCTACCCCATTTCCCCCTCGGCCACTTCATCCTCTGAGCCAGTTCCTTCTCGGCCCATGCAGCCGCGGTCAGACCCTTACTGAGCCGGAGCTGGTTGAGAATGTTCACAGGTTGATAAATACCTAAGTATTCAACTGATACACAGATAAAGAATGTTGATAAATTGCCTCACATACATGTTGTAATGCAAAAACATGAGAAAAGTTAAGGGTGAAAAAGACTATGGTAAAGCCTGCATACGAGCCAAGTGACGTATCCGGCTGAAGCGTATCTGTAGCATGAAGTGACTAGGAGTATTTCTACTCTCCCCTGGACGGGATGCCAGTCCATCGCAGGGTTACCCCCAGCATTAAGTCTGCCGGTATCCATTTATACACCTAGGTGGAGAGAGGCATTGTGAGAGTAAAGCGTCTTGCCCTAGAACACAACACAATGTCCCCGGCCAGGGCTGGCGGACCTGGACCGCTCGATTCGGCGACGAGTGCACCAACCATGAGGTCACGGCGCCTCCCACTGAAAAAGGCTACAGTGTCTGTCAATTTCTTTTTGCTATAAATATTTTACTGTCAATAGAAAATAAAATTAGGCTCGAACCAACGGAAAAAAACATTGCATNTAATCCCCCACATATATCTACACATCCTACATCTCATTAATCCCCCACACATACCTACACAGCCTACATCTCATTAATCCCCCACATATACCTACACATCCTACATCTCATTTATCTCCCACATATACCTACATAGCTTTCATCGTATTAATTCCCAACATATACTACACAGTCCACATCTCATGAATCCCTCACATTTACCTTCACAGTTAGCATTTCATTAAATCGCTTCTAGAGTTTTTACTCATTATATTCAGTGGTTATCAACTCATGTAGAACCAAGTAGTCTTAAGATATCTTGGAACAAGTAAATTGACTATCGTTATTCAAATTATCCGTTCGCTTGCCGTGCGTTCAGCCGTTTGAACGGATACCGTAAGGAACGTTTTCGCGTGAGAGGTCACTTATTTGCCGATGCATTTCTGTGGTTGACTCGGCAGAGTTCTTCTTTTGCTTCTAGGATCGAGAAAGTAAAATTGACGATGTACTTACTTCTTTTTACGTGACGCGTTATTGGTGAAAAAAAAATTCTCCTTGATGCGTGATTTAATAGAAAAATGCAGCGTGATGCGTGATTGTTACCCCACCTTAGCCACCCTCTATCCACGATCGTGTAAGAGAACACATCTCCACATGCCAAAACAAAGTGTACAAAGGCATCGAAATCAAGACCATTGTACTTGAAAACCACCCCGCAAATCTACGCCTATTCGATGCATTTTACATACGAATATACAAGCGTAGTCTTAACTCTAGAGAGGAACGCATGCGCAGCGAATTCGCGGACCTTTTGTTCTAATGAATATTGCAGCTTATGACACTCGCCCATTACACCATTTCACTCGTTTATTTAATATTCATATTTGAACCTTATTATTCGTTTTTATATATTTCACATCCCCACGCGTCTGGATTTTAAAGGATTTTAACATCAATTTAACAGTAGTTTCAGGTCTGAACTGTTGTCAGTAATATTATTAGAAAATGCTACCGACTGAAGGACAATATCCAACGTCTACCGGATACTTTAAATTCTGACAACCTTCCACGTGAAACTGGTAACAAAGAATACTTTACACAATTAGTCAGAAACAACACCATAGCATTAGACTGCAACAGTAATTGGAATCTTCTCCTATACAAAGAGGTTTATTAAACCAACGCCTGACACCTTCACTCAACAAAGGACTCAAATCCAACAGAGAACTTTGCCTTTTCTCATGAGTTTTACTTTTTGTTTCGTTTCTACATTGTTCATATTAAGAGCTACCTTGTATGTATAATTTAGTCTGATGATGGCAAAGTTCTTACCGAAATATAACTTTGATTGTAGTTTTGCCATAGTTTCTGAATTTCGACATGTGCAATGCACAT